GGCATGTGCTCTCTTCCCGGGCAGGAGCTGGCTGTAACGGGATCGCCAGCCTGGGGTGCTTTGTAGTGGCATGGCGGGCTGGATATGGTGTTCCCTAGGGCAGGAGTGCTCTAAGGAGGTCTTGTGCTCAGCAGAGGCATGTTGATCTGGGATTTCAGGCTCTGTTCTCTGCCTAAGTCAAGCTCTGGGTGTTTTTTTATCTTTAGTTTCCCTGCATCAGCCCATGACTCTTGGTAACATTGCAGCTAAGACCCTGCTTTGGGCTTATAAGACAGAGTCCTCATTTACGTAAATTATATAGATTATAAACCATGATCCCTTTATTACATGGAGCTTTCTGAGCATGACAGGCTGGGATGCTGGCTGGGATTTGCATGGGACGATGTGTTCCTTGGGAGCCTCTGCACCAGGATTTACAGCCTGTGGAGCAAGGTCGCTATCCCAAACCACCTGATTCAATCCAAATCCAGAGCTGGCACCCTGGAGCTGTGCAGATGTCATTACCCTGGCACGATGAGCCAAAACCTCCCTTAGTGCCCTTCATGCCAGGTAATGCTCAGCTCCATTACTTGCTGCCTTAAAATTAGTAAATGAATAGTCAGATTTTTCCCAAGGAACTGGCTGTTAATAAAATTCAGCCAGCGGTGCCCGGTGCCAGGTTTATCTTGCTGGGTAGCATGGCCAGAGCTGGGAAGCACAGGGAGGAGGGTGCAACAGGTGGAAGGTTGCAACCAGGGGTCCTCAGATGACCAGAGGACGATGAACCATAGATCCCCAGGGGATGAGCTGCCATGGGGGACCAGCCATGTTCTGCCCTCTCTGAGCACAGCAGAGCTGCTCCCTGAGCTGGGAACAGCCTGGAGAAAGTGAGCAGGAGGTTTCTCATGCCAGTATCACCACCTTGAACAGCCTGTCCTGCCCCATGACATCCTTGGTGCTTCCTCTCCCGCAGCTCAACCCGCCACTGATGACTTTTTCATGCTCTCCGGAAAGCGTGTTTGTGCTTGGAAATACCTTCCCGCTTTGTTTGTGCTGCTGCATTGTTCGGCTCCAGGCTGATACTATCTTCTCCTGCTCTCCAGCATTTTTCTAGTACCCTTGGGTGATGCTTGTGCTGGGCGTGGGGCTTTTCTGAACCTCCACAAGCAGGTTTTGACAAGGCACAGGTCTCCAAAGGCAGCTGTGTTCCCTTGCCCCTGAGATCTAGGGATTTTTCCAAACAATTGCATAACCCAGGGGCTGGAGCATTGCTTTCCCCTCCCCACCCTGGAAACCCACGGAAGAGCAAACAGCTCCCTGGCCTTGGTGCCATAAGCTCACTGCGAGCTCTCAGGCTTGATAGAGGAGAGCTGCTTGTGCACGTATGAAGTGCACAAGCCCTGTCCCACGAGCCCTGTTGCCCTCTATTTCCTAACTGGCTCGAGGGGGGCTTTGCCAAGGGTATTTGCTCCACTTCACCTCTGACAGGCATGGAAGTGGTGAGATGGGGTCATCAGCAGTGCTTTCAAACTGCTGTTTGCTTCTTGCCAAATGCTTAGAGCTGAGTGCTGGTGCTCAGTAGTCTCCAGCGATTCCCAGCTCCCGGCAGTGCCCATGCATGGATCCCAGGGTAGGAGCTGCAGCCAGGCATTCGTGCCATGGTCTTGCCGGGGTGCTGGCTGCTCACCAGGACTGGGATCCTCCAGTTGCCTTGGGTCTGTTGATGAGAAATGAGGGCTCTGTTAATGAGCAACAACCCTGGCTGGAGGAGCAGTGAGGGATGTGTGCGGGTGGGTGTGCAGTTCTGGGCCAGCTCTGGGAGACCTCTCCTGGCCTGGGAATGGATTTTTCTCCCCATGATCAGGCAGTGGCAGCGCTCCCATCCACTTGCTGCCATCCATCAGGTAGGTGCAAGCAGGACTGAGAGCCTGGCAATAAACACCTTTCCAAGCCCTGAAACTGAATCGCAGTAAATGTTCTTGGTTGCTGTTTGGAGTTGCCTTGTGTTTAACTCCTGCTCAGCTGGAGTAAATAATAGATTTTTTTTTTCTGTATTTTCCCCTTGGCCTTCCTAGAAGAGCTGCAGCAACACTAGCGAGTTGTGGTCAGTGCAGAAAGAAAATGTTGGAGAAAGTGTTTCCTCTGCTGGCAGATAAAGATGATATTCACTGCCTGGCCCTGCAGCATCCTCCTGCATGGGAATGTCATGATAGGGGTGAGCAGGAAGATGTGATGCCATGGTGCATGGCACTAGTTCAGCTGTGGGTGGAGGATGTCTCCATCACACCCCATGCTTCAGGGAGGCAGCCCCACTCTGGGGCAGCTGGCTTTCCCTGGGGAATCATTTGCCTGGCATGTGTGTCCTTGCTGAGCTACGAAGCCAGCCACAATGCTGAGTGTTGGTAGGATCAGGGAGATGCATGGGTTCCCACCTTCCCTGTGTCCCAAGTTTGAGGCATCAGGGTAGGTAAAGTGGGGCTTTTTTAACACAGGCAAACCCCTCTCTGGGCCATGGGGTCCTGGTCCCACAAGAGGACTAGCACCAGCATCTTGTCCTCAACAAGATCCTGGAACCTCCCTATGCAGCAGATGAAGGACATCGTGCTGCTGGGGGTGCCTGGGCCACCCTGGAGCCACGGGCTGGAGGTGTAAGCGTGGGATGCTCTCCTTCCCCTGCAAGTTCCCATGGACCCTTGAAGCCCAGCTCGTTTTAAAATGGATTTACAGGCAGGAGGCAGATGGATCAGAGCAGCCCCGCACCGGGAGCTGTCAGTACCCCATGACCCCAGTGTGCTGTCCCCAGCAGCACAGCCCTGAGGTCCCAGCTCAGATCCTCAGCTGGTGCTCCCTGGGGTGGAAGTGCTGCTGTGGGATGTTTGGCAGGGCAGCAGGAGCCTGGGACAGCCTGTCCCATCCCCGGGGGCTGCTGCTTGCCAGGGGGGCCGCAGCCAAAGCCAGGCCCAGTGCTCGGAGCGTCCCTTATGGGGAGTGCTGCCAAGCTCACACGGGAAACACAAAGGGTTGAGTCCCGGCGGCTTGGCGTCCCCCACCAGCTGGGACATGTCACTGGCCCCAAGAGGAGCTGGGATGTCAACTCCAGCTTGCTGGGGTTCTGGCTGCCCAGAGAAGGCAAAGCCTTTTCCTGGAGCTATGAGAGTTGCTCTGTGCTGTGTTTGAGTGTCTGGGGGGATGCAAGAATGCCTGAGGGGATGCAGTTATGCCTGAAGGTCTGCCAGGGAGGGTGCAGTGGTGCCTGGGAGGATGTGGGAATGCCTGAGGGAATGCCCAAGAGGATGCAGGGGTGCCTAAAGGGGTGCTTGGGAGGTTACAGGGATGCCCAGGAGGATCTGGGGATGCCTGAGGGGGTGCCCAGGTAGATGTAGGGATGACTGAGGGGATACCCAGGAGAATGAAGCTTAGGAGGATTTGTGGAAGGATGCAGAGATGCCCAGGAGAATGCCCAGGAGGACACAGGGATGCCTGGAGGAGCCTGTCCCTGTGGAGGCATTGAAGCTTCCCCCTGCATCAAATCTTGTGTGGGGCCAGTGTGAGCAAACGCCGTCTGCAAAGGCAGGGCTGGCACCCAGGAGTGGTGCCCAGGGCCAGCCTGTGTTTGGTGCAGGTAGCCATGGCTGGGGGGGGGGGGGCCGAAAAGGTAGCCATGGCTGGCTGGCATGGCCAGCAACCACCGCAGGTGGATCAGAACACTGTGAATATGAACAACCCAGCAGCAATGCCCTGCCAAATTACCTCTTACCAAGGCTTAGTCAGGGTCATTAACTATGTTATTGCACGTGGCATTTTTCCTTGACCTCAGGTTTAACATTACGCTCACAATGAAGTCGTGTGTGAGCCCTTGTGCCTTGAGGAGATGAGGCTTCACAGAAAGCCCCAGTGAGATGCAGGAGCCATACCCAGCATTGCTGTGGGTCACTTGAGGGTGGCCAAGGCCACGGTGGGAAAAGGCATTGGTGGTAAAGGCAGAGGAGCTGTGACCTTCTCCTTGGCCACAGGGTGTGCAGTTTGGGGCTGAAATTGGGGTGGGTTTTTAAGTGACTGATGAGCCCCACTTCTTTTCCCCTGGTTGCTGCTTGTGCTGTTTACTCTTTTTGGCAGCAGTAGTAGCATTAATCACTGGGTTTTATCCCTAATCCTCAGGTCCCCAGGTGATTACACAGCAACTGCTGTAGGCATTTGGGAAGGGGCGTCAGTTCCTTGGAGGCAGAGTGAGGGGGTACCACAAATGCTCTAGGAACAGGTCCAGATGTGCAGGGTGCTGGCAAGACCAGACAGGACTGCCCTCTCTCTGCCCCTACACACACCTTCAGGGCAAGTTGTCCTGTCCCATTGGGAGCTCACCCAGGATCCCTGGGTGCTGTGGGGTGCTGCTGGCTCCCAGGTGGCACACTGGCTCTGGAGCACCCCTGGGTGCTGTGCCCGTTGGCCAGGGTGCATCAAGGATGCTGTATGTGGACTTTCAAGCGAAATGGTCTCACCCCAGCCTTGCCTTGGGCTGTGCTTTTCTGAGTCAGTCGGCTGGAAGATGCCACGTGGCTGTGGGCTGAGCCAGAGGCTGCGTCACCTGGGGGACATCCCTGCGGGGTTTGCCCCAGTTTGGGGTGTCCCTGGGTGCCCTGTGGTTGCCACAGACCCTGTCCCTGAAGGTGGAGAAGATTCATCTGCCCAGGCGAACACACCACCCCTGGGAGGAGACGGGTCCTGCCCTGGTGCTGACTAAACTCCAGGGTGCAAATCCACCCAAGGGATTGCCAAGCAGGCTGGCACTGCCCTCACTCTGCCTTTTCCCAGCCTGGGGCTCCATGTTTCTCCTCAGTTTGCCATTGGAGGGTGCCAGAGCATCTCCCCATAGGTTCAGGATGGGACCTGCCTCCCCACTGTAGGATGTGGCTGCTGAGTGTGTTCAGTGTGGGCAGGAGGGTGACCTGAAGATGCTGCATCCTCTGGGAGCTGGGAGGGCCATGGTGGGCACAGGGGCTCAGCCAGGTTGTCTGCATCCCCAGCTGGAGGATTGCACGCTGCAGGTCTCGCCCTCTGGACACTACCTGGACCTTGACTTATCTCTGCTGGAGCAGAAGGATGATCTGGAAGGTTTCTATGAGGAAGTCAGGTGAGGTACATGGGGTGTCTGAGCCCTCCAGGGGTGGGACAAGGGGACCCCATGTGCATCTGAGCACTGAGGGCTGTGGTGGTCCCACTGTGGAATCCTACACAGTGTTTCCCACTGCCCTAGGAAGGGGAGACGGCCAACCCTGATCCTGCGCACGCAACTCTCTGTCCGAGTCCATGCCATCATCGGTGAGTCCTCCTTCTCCAGCAGCTTGTCTCCCTCCCCAGGTGGTGGCTTGGCATCTGCCATGAGTTTTGGCCAGGCTTTTTGTGATGGAAAGAGGGAGCAATTCAGCCCAGGGCTGCTCCTGCCCCATAACTCTTCCCAGAGATGCAGGGACATGGTCCCCATGAGGCTGGTGGGATCTTGCTGGGTTAATCCCCCCCATCCTCAGACATCAAGACTTCTGCCTCTTGGGCTGGGAGCCCACCACCCACTGCAGATATTCTGGGTCATTCAGGCAAGCTCTAATTATAGCCTTGCAGGATGCAAACAAATAGCTCTTGCACAGCAGAAAGTGCTGCCAGTTTGGGGCAGCCTGCTCGGAGGTCCTGCAAGATGCTCAGGAGTGCAAAAGCCTTCTTTCTCCATAGAAAGAGGGGGAACAAGCACTGAGCAGAGTAATGCTGGCTGGGCATCAGCTGGCTGGGCAGGGCTGCAGCCAAGCCCGAGCGATGCAGGAAGAGGCAGGAAGGCCAGGACTGGGGTCATGCTCTTTGTGAGCAGTTCCCAGGCTCCAGGCTGTTCTGCTTTCACTCTGGGCTGCTCTGCTTTCCCTCCAGGCTGCCTTGCTTTCCCTCTGGCTGCTGTGACAAGCTGATAAGCGAGCAGAGGAGGCTGCCGAGACCTTGTGTTTTACAGAGCCCTGTCAGCATTACTGGAGGGCTCCTTGGACAACTTGCTTCTGGGTTGTTACATCCATAAGCCTGACCCAGATAACTCAGGATGCTCAGATAACTCAAGCTTTGGATGCAGGAAGTGATGACTCCCAGTGGCTTTGGTCCCCACATTTCTTTAAGTGGGCATTCCAGCTTCCCATTGCCCTGGCTGTTCCATGCTGGCTCCTGCCTGCAGGCACCATCTGCATAAGCACAGTCTCCATCCCAGTGACTGTCCTTCTATCCCTGAGCCAGCGTCATGCTGCCATCCTTCCCATCCCCATCCTTCAGCTCTTCTCAAGCTGTGGGCCTGCTGTGGGCTCCAGGATCGTGTCAGGGCAGAAGTGTAAGGAGAGATGGCTAAAAGTAGTTCAGCCTCCTGTCCTTGTTCCTGTTTCGGTTATGCACAGGAAACCAGAGGGGATATTTATGTCATTGCTGGGCAGAAAAAGAAGACAAAACAAAAGGAAATCGGAAGGTGGCAGGGCTGAAATAAGTAGTTGTGGAGCTGCAGCTGCTTCCACCTCGGGGCAATGCCAGCATCCTGGGGTGACAACACGGGGTTGAGTCAGGATGCGGGGCTTTCCCAGGCAGCTGGCAGCATTCTGGAGCCATGGTTCAGCATCAATCATTTCCTTCCAGAGAAGCTGTACAACTCGCAGGGGCCGGAGCTGCGGCGATCTCTCTTCTCCCTCAAGCAGCTCTTTCAGGTACGATGATGCTGGTGGGTCTCAGGGGTGTTCCCTGGAGGCTGGCAGCCCACCCCTGCCTCCCCCGCTGTGGTAACGCCTGGCCTTCACCCTGCAGGAGGACAAGGACCTGGTGCCGGAGTTCGTGAACCTGGATGGGCTGACATGCCTGATCAAAGTGGGGGCGGAGGCTGACCAGAACTACCAGAATTACATCCTCCGGGGTGGGTGTTTGAGCACCTCTCATCCCTAGGGAGGAAAGCTTGGCACTTGTGAGGGGGGTGAGGCAGCCCCCGCCAAGGGAAGCCCTATCCCTGCTGTGCCATGACCCTGTCCCCTCTCTGCCTTGCAGCCTTGAGCCAGATCATGCTCTTCGTGGATGGTATGCAGGGTGTCATCAACCACAACGAGACCATCCAGTGGCTCTACACACTGTCAGGAAGCCCAGTAAGTTCCCAGTGCTCTTGGGGGGCTGCCTGTCCCCCTTGCTGCACCCTTCTTCCCTGCTTGTGGCTGTCTCCTTGCACTGTCCCTCAGGGATTTACCCCATCCCCTGCCTTTGGGCTCAGTGCCCTTTGTATGTGTTGGGTTCTGCTCCCAACCACCTGGAAGCCAGGCAGGGTTGCTAGAGCTCCCCATCCTGATGTGACCATGCTTCTGGGCAGAGAGCTTAAGCAAGAAGGTCCTGATCCAGGTCCCTTCCCAGTGTGCCTTGGCCATCAGCATCATAGCTGCAGGCCAGTCTCTGGTCCCATGGCAAAGCCCCCAGCCCTGAAGCATGGTGACCCAGCAGCCAGTGCTGCAATCCCAGCCACTGTCCCTTGTCCCAGTATCGCCTGGTGGTGAAGATGGCACTGAAGCTGCTGCTGGTGTTTGTGGAGTACACAGAGCCCAATGCCCTGCTTCTCATCCACGCCGTCAACGCTGTGGACCAAGCGAGAGGTGGGTGCAGTGCCAGCCTCCTGTGAGGTCCCCACCGGGGGACAGTGTGTGTCTGTGTCCCTGTCCCGTGTGTCACTGGCATGGGCCACTTTTCCCAGGCACCTGTCCATGGTCCAACCTGATGGCTATCCTGGAGCAGCGCAGTGGGGCTGACGTGGAGCTGCTGGTGTTTGCCATGACACTGATCAACAAGGTTCAGGCGGGTGGCAGGGTGTCCCTGTGGTGCCATGGTGTCAGGGCTCAGTGTGGGTCACACTGGTCCCAGCACCATCACTTTGGTCCTGCTTAGACACTGGCAGCCCTCCCAGACCAGGATACCTTCTACGATGTGACAGACTGCCTGGAGCAGCAGGGTATGGAGCAGGTGGTGCAGCAGTTCCTGGGCAGTAAGGGCACCGACCTTGACTTGAAGCACCAGTTCACACTCTACGAGGTGAGTGGGGCTCCTGTGGGATCTGACCATGCACCATGTCATGTGGCAGCAGGGTCGGCAAGTCATGGGGTGGTGGGGTTGACTTGCCCACCTGTCCCCTCCACAGAGTGCTCTCAAGCTGGAGGATGGTGTGGAAGAGCCACCCTCAGGGGGACGCAAAGAGCGGAGGAGGACAGACGAGGGCCGGCGTGGATGGCGATCCCAGGGTGGCTGCCCGGAGCCGGGCCTTGATGCCCAGCCTGGGTCCCCTGACACCCCAAAGGAGCTCCCCAGTGAGGACACCTCAGCTGTCCCCATGCCAAACAGCCCAGCAGTGTAAGTGTGGCTGGAGGTGGCTCATGATGGGGATGCTCCCAGGACTTTTCATCAGGGACTACAACGACAGGACAAGGGGCAATGGGTTTAAACTTAAACAGGGGAAGTTCAGGTTAGATATAAAGAAGAAGTTCTTTACTGTGAGGGTTCTGAGACACTGGCATAGTTTGCCCAGAGAAGCTGTGGCTGCCCCATCCCTGGTAGTGTTCAAGGTCAGCTTGGACGGGGCTTGGAGCAACCTGCTCCTGCTCTAGTGGATGATGTCCCTGCCCACGACAGGGGGGTTGGAAGTGGATGAGCTTTAAAGTCCTTTCCAACCCAAACCAGTCTGGGGTTCTGTGATTCTATGTTGAAGATGCTGGGATACAGTGTGAGCAGCACTCGAGTCCATTCCCAGTGCCAGGGTGAGGGCAGCTCCTGCCCTCAGCCCCTGTCACCTCTTTCTCCAGCCCATGTCCCAGCAGTATCTTCAGCAGCGCATCCAGTGTGTGGCTGGGCCCCGGCCCCCCGCG